CTATCTTGCAAATTGAATTTACTAAGTTACGTTCAGTGGGTTGCCTCAGGACTTTATGACTTCTAAACACTCATTTCCAAACTTTGGATAAACCCAGATCAAATGTGCCTTAATCCTTGTGTTAGAGTATTTTATCTATGCAAAATGAGTCTTAAATCATAGAGTCAAATCTATTTTTGGCACATGAAGTAATTTAAATAATAAACCACTCTTTACCTCATGCACAATGTGCCTTTTCATTACTGCACTGCTCGTCATATGCATTCCCGGAAGCTTTTTAAGCATCGTCAGTGGGGTTGGTCAGCCTTAGCACAAAACTATATCTCTTCTGCTACCATATCCCTTGTTGATTTAATTACGACTGCTAGTTTTGGTGAACTAACCGCCTACCTGCCATTCAGCAAGGAAATGCATTATGCTATGCCAAGCAATTGGCTTTACCTTGTAGCGTCCGACTAAACGAATAGTCCCTAAATAATCTTGCCCTTATGCGAACCTGTATTTACGCCCTTTGCTACTGTGAGCTTCAGTCTTTCGTTGCCATGGCTGCAATTATTTTTCGTTAAAAAACTTTACATTTTTGATAACTTCTTTTGGTAATTAATCATAATAAAATTCAATCTTAGTAGCTTGGGGATGTTTTATGCCACCAGAACAACAAACTTTAACCTACAATGTCCGGATGATATAAAATGGATTTACATGCTAATTGATATATTAATAAGCTTTATTGAAGAAGTACAGAGTAATTCTGATTGAGCGAGCTTGAGGGCCAAGAAAGTATTTGAAATGCGTCCTTTTATTCGTCTTATCTGTGCTTTATGTAAGCTTCCTCTGATATGTACTCCATTTAACCTCTATAGTCTCTACTTAAACTTTCACTCTAAATCCCTTTCAAAAGAAATTATCCATTTTACTCTGACTATATTCTTTTCTTTAAAGGGGATAAAATTCTGGCAAACTGATCGCACTTGTTTAGTCTACCCTTAAAACATAATTATTTAGCAATTATACGATAATGAAGAAGTAACTTTTCCTTGAGAATCGTCCAAGAACACCAGATTTTGTGCTTTGGGTACTTCTAGCCCTGAAGATAAGCAGGGCTTCATTGAATCCATCACTCAATTCCTATTTTATATTTTATTTCTATCTAAATGGCCAGTGGAAGGAGTCCTTAGCTCACTCTGAGTATACCTCCAACTCGGCATTGTTGGCGAGATGAACACCTGATGAAATTCAAATCCACCGGGAATCCTCTACTTATTTAAGCATAAACCACTAGCATTCGTGGTTTGAGAACACGATCATGTCTTACGTCACGTTAAAGTGCTGATGAGACTATGCCCACCTCCATTCTGACTTATAAATTCTTTTAGGAAGCAAGACTTAGTAAAATGCAACTGGTTTTTTAGGTATTTCATTTAGTTCACTCGAATATTTGACAATCGGCCCATACGTCACCATAACTGACTTAAGGTGACACAGGCCATCCTTCATGATTTGCTGATAGTCTCGAAATCTACTTATGAGAAACTGCCTAGTATATCCTAATCTACCGAATAACCGATTCGGATCAGACCTTAGAGCTCGATCCTCATCCTGTCACAGAAAATCCCGACAAACAGTATTATTGAGAACATCCTATTGGTTCGCCTTATGCCGAAGCATATGAAAAGTAAATTGAACACATTTTTTACCATTATGTTGAAACATTAGAAGAAAGCTGTTGCAAAAACATTGCTTCTTTATTACCGGTTCAAAAATGTTGAAAGTATAGGAGATTAAAAGTTTATCGAGGTTTGTAATTAGTCGACCATTGTTCTATGCGTTATGATCATGATCTTTTCTCCTAATTAACATTTGCCCCATCAAATACAGGTTGGATATAAAATAAGCTTTACAAAATAATCTCTCCATGCTTCGCTTGGGTGTTTAGTATAGAATACATGTTATCACACACGTTCGTACCGCAGATTTATAGATGTTTCCGATTTCGCTTTCATAAAGGGTGTTAGGATAATTTAACTTGGCACCCCGAAACCCTACTTAAATTCAGCTTCCGACTCAGTTGATGCACCACCTTGTTACCACAGCTTGGTCTCAAGAAGCGGCCAAGAGTTCGGCTAGCTGCAATAATAGTTCCCTTAACTGTCCTGGGCTTTGCGGCGACGTTGGCAAGGCCGTCATCAATGGTGACTGATCCCGGGAGGAATGACGGACGGGGGGCCATGGTTCCTGTACGTTCCTTTGTTGTGGCCGTTGATTTTGCTCCGGATTCGGATGCGCCTTTTGGAGTGTTTCAGTCTCGTCGCTATATCGATTCCTGCGCACCGACGCTTCGCTACTCAATTTCAGAGCTTCGCTGTGATTGGGAAATGAATTTCTGGCAGCCACATGTGCACGCTTCTTGGATGATTTGGATTTATCTTGAAATTGATTATTGGAATAATTAGGGTGGAAACAATCATTATCCTCCATCTCACCATCATCCGCCAGGTCTACAGATGACCGACAGACTACTTGCTCCATTGAACCAGCATGTTCTATCATGGCCGTCTGGTCGATGTGGTCACCATCAGGGGGAGGCAAGGGGTCAAAAGACACACTTCCATCACTTGGCCAACTTGATCCACGGAGGCCGTTGATTGTCCAATGGCTAGACTTTTCTGGCTGGATGGCTACTTCTGGAACTGGAGCATTGCTGACATCTACAGTAGGCCTACGGATTGAACCATAACGACCTGAAAATGAACAGGTGAGGGGGCCTGAGGCATGCGTTTTACTGGCTTCGCTTTGCTGAAGAAGGGCCATTCGACGATGCAATAATTCCACCTAAACATTAAACAGAAGTGGCTTTATTTTGAGCATACATGTAGAAACTGCACTTGAGAAAGAGTTGTATGGGAGATTTGGATGCGGATCACACTAATTCGGGGGAAGCCAAATCCACAGACTAGGATTTATGGCTAGGGGATAGAATATATGTGCCTATAAGCATAACAAAATTGTTGTTCTAGGCGCTGATTACTATTCGGCTGACTACTTGAAGAGAATATGCCTGGGTTCGAAGCCTGGATTTGGTCAGGCACACTTCCAAATAGAAAATATAGAAAAAATAGTTTCTAATTGCTTTTATGCTGCATGATTTTCTTCAATCACTTCAGTACAAAGCACTGTTGGCTTGCCATAGGTTATTCTTTATGGATAGTAGCAGTTTGTTGTTTCGAAGCTATTCGAAAGCTGCATACTGTCGAGTTATACCATCCTTGATTGGTTTGTTGGGATGACTATGAGTCTCTTTATGAGTAATTTTAGATAATGTCTACATTAACATTAAGGTAAACTTTTGCTTCCAAAGGCCGTACAAATCCTGAATGGACTACTGTTTCGAGTTCGCAAGGCTCAACGGCAATCAACCTCATGATAGCTCCGAAATATAAAAAAGTTACTAACTATATATATTTTTGTCACGTTTCGTAGCTTTTCTTTTGACTTAACCGTACATGGCTTAAATTTCGCTGTAGACTCGTTGCAGCAAATTCTACTGAAATTAAGCTTATGTTTTAGTAGAAATCAAATTTTACTTTTGGTTAATAAACTTGTTGTAGAGGCTTCCAAATTTGTATGAAAGCACATGTTGAATAAATTCATTGGTTGATCTCTCCTGGAGACGACGGCGATTTCCGTTGCTCCACAACCATTTCGCTTAGATACGAAGTTCATGTTGATGCAGTCTACTAGACAGCATCCCTCGTTACAGGTAAATCTGGGCTGAGCTTTAGTTCATCGTATGACGAACATCCTCAGAGCTGGAACTAATTATTGCAAAAGTCCTAAGTTAACACTAAGCCAAGAATGCCAGCCTTCTATATCCCACATGGTATATATACTCACAAAAAATTAAAATATAGAAGGATATAGAATGGCTCAGCCAGTTCCCTTATACTCGAGTATGTCTATGTGGGAGTGCAATAACATCTGTACGTAAAAACCGGCCATAAATCAAATTAATTACCAAACTAATGTATTCACCCTATTTTGTAAATGAGATGAAGGACTGATAGTTGCATTTTCTTACAATCAAATCAATAGGCATATTGAATTTCACATAGCCTTGCTTCCATAAAGGTTTTCTTATTCCTGCTGGAGTGGAATGAGGTTTCGACCTCGCCTGAACTGGTCTCATCAGTACTCCCAGAGGGAGTTTTGGTAATTCAGGGTCGCGATTATCCTTGGGGTATCAGGACAGATTTATTTTTAATGAAGGTCAAAATATTTCCTATATCTTATCTAGTGATTGGATTTTTGATTAAATAAAGTTATAATTGATATAGCAATCGACAAAATTACGTATCTTTCGTTTATAGGCAGGTTTTTGAGACGACCAGTAGATTTAATATATGGGATGTATTCACCCTATTTCGGTAAGGTGAAAAAGGTGATCCAAGGGTACTCGTGTAAGTGTTGTGTATTGACTAATGTGTCAAGATTGTACACTGCCCTATCAGGATTCGAACCCCTCTGAAGGTGCTAGGCTAGGTTGAAACTGCAGTCTATCTTGGATGATAATACATTTTGGAAAGCAAGGATATGCGAAATTTAATGGGAGCATAAGGTCTACTGATATTATTGCGGAAAAATTAAACTACTAGTCCTTCATCACCTTAACGAAATAGGGTGAATATATCTCATATATATGATCTACTTGTAGTATCTAAAACTTACATCTATATAACAAAATAATTACTAAATAGCCTAAGGTCAGGGCCGGGTCATCAAGCCTAAAGGACCCCAGAAAAAGCACGATTGACATTGTGTAATCTCGTATTTTTGGTTGGTTTGATGAGATTGAAAGACCTCTTGAACAAATGTGAATATGGTTGGAGCCATCACTGAGCAGGTAAGATGAGTCGCCTTCTTTTGTATGCGGCTCAACATCATCTCTCATCTTTAATTTATTAATAAAGCATGGTTTGACCTCGTTTTTGCAACTTGCTTGTATTGCCAGGGCAACCTAGATGAGCGCACTTTGTTGGAGTCAGCTGTTAATCTGAGACTTGCAAGAATGAGTTCCAGGTCTGAGAACGCCCGTGATATGATAGACACAAAATCAGCCTGGTTTCACTCGAGACGAGGAAGCATTTATCGTGGACTGCGTCAACCTGAACGTCGTATTAAAGCCAAAAGGCTCCAGAACAACGGGAATCTGCCGTCGTATTCCGATAAGGTCAACCAGCGAATCTCCTCATCAATAAATTTGCATTGTAAATGACATTTTTCGTACTTTAATTACGACTACAATTGTAGTCTAATTTTGTTTCGCGAATGAATAGTTGTTAGGACAGGCTTTGTATACTACTAGATTTTAAAGAAGTATTTGGATTTTACGTACGATATTGTGTAACTGCGTATAGTGATACGTAATCTTTCATCCCTTTAACTAGTCTCAGGTCTTATTAGTTGATTGCATGAGAGAACTCTTATGTATATTGAGCATAGCAATTAATATTAACTATATTTATCAGTAATTAATTTAGCAAGCTTCTAATTGATGCTAAATTTATCTCTATATATTTAACCAAGAAATCGCTGTCTACCTGACGCCGAAGAGCTATAATTGTCGATTCCAAGTGTGCCTGGACCTCACTTGGCTTCGATGAAGACAAATTATTTAAGACAGCTTTGCTCAACTCATCGGAAGCCCGGCCACTGAAGCCTGCCTCTAGGACCTCACGCCAGGCAGCTTCGTGCTCTTGTAAACGTTGTTCTGCCAGTTTCCCACGTGTCTGCTCCCGTGCCAGTGTCTCTCGAAGATTCTGAAGGCCCAATTAAGATGAACACAAAAGGAATGCGAGCTGAAAATAGATATTTATTCTGATCATCAAGTCTAATCTTTTTGTCTACATTTTTTTGGGTATCATAAAAATTCTGTTATGAATAGTAGAGTAGTAAGCTGACGGATTTACGTAATACACGATTTAATATAAGGGTTTTTTAATTAATTAATTAATTTGTTAACATTTAATTGTTTGCAAGTACTGCTTTTTTATTATATCATTTTGACTTTGTTAAATATGAAAAAAAACAGATGTAGTTTAAAAATTTCAATTGGTAAAAAGAAACATTAGTTTAAATT